AAGAGAGAGAGAGAGACCTTCTTCCTGTGTCCTCTCTTTTTATTGCCTTTCTGTTCTGCCTTCTCATTGGCTCAAAACCCAACCACATGACTTCCTTGTCACTGCCTGTCTATACAGACCTCCAGATCTCTATGGTTGGTACTGAGATTAAAGGCGTGTGTCACCAGGCTTGGCTGTATCCTAAAACACACAGACTCTGCCTGCAATGTGATTGGATTAAAGGCGTGTGCCACCACCACTGGACTTCTGCTAAATGGCTTGCTCTTAGCTCTGATCCCCAGGAAACTTTATTTATTGACATACAAATAAAGTCACATTTCAGCACAAATAAAATATCACCATAGGTAAGTGTTTTGTGAAGCATTTATCTAATTATTCAATAATCAATAATTCAATATCAATAAAAAATCAGGAGTCAGATATTGGGGTAAGAACCTGAATGGTCAGAGAAGCTGAGAAACCACCAGTGACCTCCTATCTTCTGTTCCTCCAAACAAAAGGGCTGAGATTCTCTCAGCCCTGCCTTACTGCTACTACTGCCTCCTATCTGTCCACACTCCTCCAAAACCTCTATGGTTAATTTTGGTCAGCTAGTGGCTAGCTCTGCTTTCTCACTCAAAGCAAGTTTTATTGTCAGAATGGGATCAAAATACCACACAACAGTTTTTTTGGAAATTGTATACATAAATTGCTAAATTAAAGCACATGGTACTTTTGTGGCAATCCTTTGAAGATTATTGTCATGATGTCTTAGATGATAGTCTGATCTTTGAAGGCCTTAAAGATTCTGTCACTCTGATAGCATTCTGGCTTAATTGTACTGTTTGTAGAATGTCACAATCTCCATTTCCTCCTTTGTTAATGCTCCTCTGAGGAGGACGATACAGTTTATACTGTGGGTTTTTGTGTATGTTTACATAATAGTTGGCTATCTCCCTTTAGAAGCCAGGGCATTACCTTGCTGCCTGCTTATAAGCTACTGTCTCATTGTGTTTTGATGAATTCTTGCTGCACAGAGGCAGACATTTAGCCTAGTACTCCAGGATTGCCATAATCCACTAAATAACCTCATTTGTTTTGTCCACATCGAACCAAATGCTCCACTGCAGGTAGGGGGGCTCACTCAACATTCTGGTTCCAGCATACTTGCTGCTTTATATTTGGTTTAGAGGTACACCCCAGCTATGATAAAATTAGGAAAAGATCCTCTGCCCAAGTGAAAACTCTAGCTTTAGATTTTTATTCCCTTTACTTATTAGCTATGCAGCCTTGAGCAAATCATTGCATACTTTAGGAATTTTTCATATGTTCATGTCAATCAACTACAAAGAATTGCTTTATTGACATTTGATTGTTGTAAGACTGTGGTTAATAATTCATCTTAAAGACAAAGTGCTTTTATTGGTTTCTTTGTTGTAATATAGGGTCTTGCTATGTTACCCAAGCTGACTGGCCTGGAATTCAGTATGTTGTTCATACTGAATTCAGCCCAAGTTGTTCTCAAAGTCAACATCCCCCTGCCTCAGCCTTTTAAGTGCTTGAATTATAAGTCACTGTGCCTGGCTTTTTCAATATTTGAAAGTTGATAAATTTAATGATAGTTTTCTCAACTGAAAGTTTATATCAGTAGTAATTGTTATAGTTAATGCTGTTTTATGGCCTAAGTAATTATCTGAATAACCTTCCAAAAACATACAGAACAAAAACTGAGTTGTGAATATATGTGACAAAAATTTAAATCTTTAGCTGTAAAAGAGTTATCTTGATGTATTGTCAACTATATGAAAAGGCTAGGATATGTTTATTTACATTGAAAATAGTTTTCTTTATAATACATAGAAGCCATTTAGACTTAGAGGGCACAGTCATCTTTGACTTAAGAAGGGCTTTTACACCCTCCCATGACACCACAGATAATCCAAAGCTTTAGGGTGCTGCTTACTATATTGTGGGTTCTATAAAAGTGAGAACTTTTGTTTTGGTGTTTGGTTTTTCAAGGTAGGGTTTCTCTACATAGCCCTAACTGTCCTGGAACTCACTTTGAAGACCAGACTGGCCTCGAACTCAGAGATCTGCCTGCCTGCTTCCCAAGTGCTGGGATTAAAGGTGTGCATCACCGCCAAAGTGAGAACACTTTTACCAACAAAAAAGCTTTGTTGGTGTCCTTACCCCTGACATTTACAACCTGTGTGACTTAGGGTAACCTTGTGACGATGTATTATCTCACTTAGCAGAAATTTTTGAGCAATTAACAAATACCTGTAGCTCTCTTGCACAGCAAGTTGCTCATTAATCTTGAAACTGTTGTATTAGTACACTGAACAGGTGTTCCTGATTCATGTGCGTCCCTTGGGAGAGGAGATAAACTTTAATCCATTTCTAGCAAATATGTGCAACTTTATGGTGTATACTTAATAGTATATATACTTAATATACTTAACCTCATTCCTGGTTCTTACTGGCCTCATTGGGTTTATTTTTCTCGTTAGCTTGACTTTCTTTGCCTATGTTTAAATTATTTTATTTTTGTTCATTTTAATCTATTGGAAGCTACCTTAAAGGCTTCCTGGGAGAATATAAGGCCAAGGACACTAAATAAAATAGTGTGTTCCCTTCTCACAGCTGATGTATAGAATAGAATGATATACATCATACATGGTATTTTTTTAACTGAATCAGAGAATATTAATTATAGCTGCTTTAAGCTGAGGAATGCTTAAATGGTTTTATTTTAAAGGGAAGATACAGTTTTACAAGAACAGATTGAACTATTACTATGTGTCCAAGTTTTTTCTATAGTTCTATAAAGGTAAATGAGGATGTCTGGGGATGCTTTTCTTTTTTCTCAGCTATTAGCATGGTAAAATACTTACTTTATTCATCTTTATAAGGGTGTCAATTCATCTTAGACACAGCTCACATATATTTTATCCACAGGGTCTTGGATGACATGTCTTATGTAGTATGTCTTAGAGGATTTTTATGGTATGGTTGATCTGGTTTCAGTCATATATTTAAATGCAATTATGTGTTTTTACATTTTTATAATTGTACTGATGATTTATATTTAACAAGCCCTTAAATCTATAATGGAAAAAAGCAAACTGTTTCATGGACTCAGAATTCTAATATGGTCATTGTTAGCAGTTTTTAATTAATAATGCAAATATCCACCTACCTTATTAACAGAAAGTATAGCTTCTTCCTTTTGGCTTTTGTATTTTCCCTGAATCATCCCAAGAACTCTAAAGCTTATACCATCCAGAGGTCTCATCCATGACTTCTGTATCCACTGAATGTGCATGCCTGTGTGTGGGTAAGTGGAGAGTTTGCACATTTCTACTGCATACTTTGCCATGTGCTGATAGAGCTCAAAGATAGTTTTTCACTGAAAAGCAGAACTGCTGCGGGTTTACTTTGAACCCAGATCCTGATGTGGCCCAAATAAATAGAAGGAAGGATGACATTCTTCCTGGTGTGGCCCCCATGGTACAGCAGGAAGGGTGACCCTCTTTCTGGGCTGAGTTCTATCTCATGGTGACTCAGCTTGTTCAGGTCATGATTGTGGAGTCCTCTTAACTGCTGTTCTAAGAACAGCATATAGTCAGGCCTTGTCCTAACATGTCACCCCTATTTTATATGATTGCACCCACATTTCTCCTGGCCATCATGGAATCCTATGCTATTATTCATTCTTTAGGCATTACTACATCTCAGTCCTATTTATCACTTTTTTTATTTGCATTTATGAAGAATGTGACTCCCATTGTCTAAAAGAGACTGATCTTTCTAAGGGACATTTCTCCAAGGTGTCATTATCTGCCTTCTCCCACTGAAGTGAAAGGAGGAAAATTGAATTTCATTTCTTACTGGGCTTCCTACTGTACATGTAGTAGTCTCAAAAAGAAGAGCAGGTTTTGAGTGAGTTATCAACTTTTATGTTTAAAGTGAGTGAAATGTACATGAGCAAGAGGATAAATGATAAAACTAACAAATTTAAAATGGATTGGATGTGTTGGAAAGACAAGACCAACTTTTTAGCTAATTTGAAGGATTAGAGACATTTGAGATGATGAATCATATTAACAGCTCAAGTCACTGGAATGACTGAGAAAGTAGTTCAGTAGACTGTTCACCTAGCATGTGTGAGGCTCTAGTCATAATCCCAGTAACCTGCTCCCCAGAGTGACAAGAATAAAGTTGTTCTTTGTAGTACTCAGGATTTGACTTACATATACATGATTTCTGCCACCACCACTCCCAATGAAAAGATACCGAATAGAAATATACAGAACCCCAAGTGAGAAAAATTTGTAATTTCTCTGATAGTATTGTAGAAGAGGAACACTTAGTGCATAGCTCCTATTAGTTTAAATTTATAGAACTGACTTCAAAGGAACTGCTGTGGAAATCATAAATTTCCTAAGTTTTAAAATACTTTTTTGCCAGGCAGTGGTAGTGCAAAAAGGCCTTTAATCCCAGCACTCGGGAGGCAGGCAGATCTCTGAGTTCAGGACCAACCTGGTCTACAGAGTAAGTTCCAGGACAGCCAAAGCTATACAGAGAGACCCTGTCTCGAAAACCAACATGCGTGTGTGTGTGTGTGTGTGTGTGTGTGTGTGTGTGTGTGTGTGTATGTGTGATATTTCTGCATCCAGAGGGATACCACATTCAAACAGGAACTAAATTAACTTATCTGACAAAGCTTTAAATTAAGAAATGTTCATTGGCATTGGTTTATACCTGGTGCTCAAGTTAAATATTAATAACATTTGTTTTATTTGTGCCTGTCTACTGTAGATATTATATCTCATTTTCTTTAAGATTAAGAACACCTAATTTTTTTCTCCCTTAAGAGCTTCTTACGTTTTCTAGTGTCTTATTATTTTATATTTCATATTTAATTGTAAACAGCATAGGAACAACCCTCAGAAGAGGTTTGGGAGAAAGTGTTTATATGTGAGATGTCTGTGCTCAGGTGGTTGTTTTATGTATTACAGGCCTTTCGGGAAGACTTGGAATGCCTCATCCAAGAACAGATGAAGAAAGGCCACAACCCAACTGGTTTACTAGCCTTACAACAGATTGCCGATTACATCATGGCCCACTCTTTCTCAGGCTTTTCTTCACCTCCCCTGAGTATGTCTATTGTGATTTGTTTTCTCTACTGTAGAACACTACTTCTCTAGCTATTTTTCTGTTCAGATTCAGCTCTTAAGTATATAACATAGAGCTGGGTCTGGTGGCACAAGCCTACAGTACTAACTGCTCAGGAATGGAAGCAAAGGGTTATAAGATCAAGGCCAGCCTAGGCAAATTAATGAAGACACTCAAAAGTTAAAAAAAAAAAAAAAAAGTCTGAGGATATTGTTCAGTGGCCATTACTATGCACAAGGCCATAGGTTCAAGCCCCAGTACCTTTTAAAAGTTAATAACATCTGACACTTATCAGCCAGCTGTGTAGTCGGAAGTTTTCCTGTGTACCTCCTGGTCCTGCAGCCGCTTAGTCCCAAGTAAACACACAAAGGCTCGTATTAATTACATACTATATGGCCTATTGCTTCAGCTTCTGGCTAGCTAACTCTTTCATCTTAAATTAACCCATTTCTATAAATCTATGTTGCCACATGGCCATGGCATTACCAGTCTGCTGACATCTTGTTGCTCCTTTGGTGGTGGGCTCGCAACTCTCCCTCGACTCCCCCTCAACTCAGCCCTTCTTCTCTCTGTATCTCTGCTTGGATTTCCCACCTGGCTGTAAGCTTTCTTGCCATAAGCCAAAACAGCTTTATTTATTATCCAATGGGAGCCACACGTATTAACAGCATACAGAAAGACATCCCACAGCACAGCCACTTAGCAGACTTTGTAAGCCTTATAAACTATTCTAAGACATAGTCCTATCCCAGATAATTGTATTTTAATTAACCCTGGAAGACCACTGTAGTAGTTATTTTTGCTTATTTTGGCTCACAGTTTCAGAGTGGTTTCAGTTCATCGTGACAGGAAAGGCAAACAGCTCTGGCTGTGAATGGGAGCCTGAGGCAGAGCAGGTGCTCCCAGCACAGGATGCAGAGAGAGCAGAGTGGGTCTGTCCATGGTGGTCTACTTCTCACCAGCCAGCCTCCTTCCAGAGGCTGTGCAGCCTTCACAATAGGGCACAAACTGGTGGCCTGGCATTCAACACATAATCCTATAGTGGACATTTCAGATTCAAGCCATAACAGTAACTGTAGAGGAAAAAGTTAAAAAGTAATTATCTGTTACCCGTTCCTATGTCCCTTGAGCTGAGAGTTAGAGTTGATGATTGCCTGAAGGAGACTGAAGAAAAACTTGATGAAAGAAGAGGACCAGTTAGTCAGATTTCGAAGGGTATTTTAGTGAGAGTTCTGTGTAAAGGAGTGGGTATTTTATTCACTGCATAGCTCATTAGTAAGAGCAACAGTTTGTGTGGATGGACTCCCTCAAGTAAGACCCATCAGCTGAAAGCTCCGATCTGTGACTGTTCAGAATTTCTGCAGTGGATGGCAGATGTGGAGGCCACAGAGAGCTAGCAGACATTGCTCCATGGAAGACTCAAGAAATAGGGCCTTGATTTGCTCTTTCTTCTCTTTGTCCCCTTCTTTCTCTTCCTTTTGTCAGTAGAGGAATCCAAGTAGGATTTTACTGAATTCAAGTTTTTTCCAAACACTTGAGACGTGATAGTAGGAGCATGCAAGGCAGGGGTCTTTGTTGGAACTCCAAGTGCACCACTTCCTTGGGCCTGAGGGTCCTGGGATAGCAGTCTAGGGAAAGGAAGTGAGTCAGACTGAAAAGACCCTTCACTGTTAGCCCCAAGACAGCTGCCAGCATGGAAAGTGAAAACCTGTGTGAAGAAAGAATTAATAGTGATGATGTGAATGAGTGCCAGGAAAGAAAAAGAAAGTCAGATCATTTAAGGACCATGAAAGAATCTCCAGGAGAGATGTAAATACCTGGATTAGTGCTTGTGGATGTGTGAGGGAGGAAAACAAGGAGAACAGAGCCAAGAACCAAAGGGAGCTTAGTGGCAGGCCTGATGTGCTGGGGAGAGGCGAATGTGAGTCACTTAGTGGTTGGGTTCTAGCTTCTGAGAAACAGTCTACCAGCGGAAACAGACATTCAAAGTTCGACTCTATAACAGTGGGCATTTGTACCAAGCCCACTGTTACAGGGACAAGGACTACACTGGCAAGATTCTTTTTCTCTTAGAGTTTGAAAATACACTAAATAAAGTTAATCAGACTATAGAGAATGCCATGCAGAGAATTACAGTATGGTTATGTGCTGGAAGTGTCTGGGTAGTACAAAGGTAAGGTCATCAGAGACAACCTCTTTGTCTCACATGTCGTCATGTAATCTGATGCTTGAAGAGTAAGGTATGTGGTATGTCTTAAGATGGAAAGAAAATATCCAAGTCCCAGAACCTGGTAAAGGTGCCAAGTCGGTGGGGGGGGGGGGGAGGATAAGTTTGGGCTCTTCAAGGAGCAGAAATAAAAATAATAGCCTGCTTGTTCTCTGAGGGGACAAATAGAACAAAATTAGATAACAGCACAGGCAATGTTGCTTAAATGTGATTGTAATGTGGCTGGGGGTCAGTTCTCATAGCCAGGTTTGGAAGTTTGAATCTTGTTCCTACTTGTGGGAAGACATTTTTAAACTGGAGAGTGATTTTTAAAGCCCCACTAGATTTTCTGTGCAAGAATGGACCTGAAGATTTCATAGGATCAATAAGAAAAATAGGAAGGGCCAGAGTTTAGGATCCAGTTTGGCTTGAGACAATGAAAGACCTTCAACTTGTGGCCTGTTTGCTTTAAGGTGCTGAGCTGTGGCAGTCGAGTGCTCAGGAGAACACCTTGGCAGTAGATACAGAGAAGTGCTAGCTACCCCAGGAGCCTCCTCTGCACACGGCTCTCACGAGAAGGAGAGGTGGGGTTAGGAGACAAGGGGAAATTTAAAAGTTCTGAAGAAGGCTGGCAGGGGAAAGAACTAACAAGACTCTGCCCTCTGAGCGTCCTAGATTCCACATCAGGAACTCACCTTTGAGGTTGTAGATGGCAAAGCATGGCAGCAGGAAAGCCATGTCCCAGAAGTGTCCACAAGTCAGGAAGTGGAAATGCACTAGTTTGGAAGATTCTTTTGTGGTGGTGTCAAAAAAGTGAAGTTACTTTGGGGGTGGAAAGAGAGCAAAGAATAAAATAATGATGACTATAAGATTTCATTAAAAATTAAAATATTTTAGCTGGGTGTGGGGCACATGTGTTTAATCCCAGTACTCGGGAGGCAGAGGCAGGCAAATCTCCAAGTTCTAGACTAGCCTGGTCTACATAGTGAGTTCTAGACCAGTCAAGGCTACAAAAAAAGACCCTGTAAAAGGAAAGTTAAATAATAAAAAGGAGTAAAGATGCTAAGAATTGAGCTTGTAGAAATTGTAATGTTGTCAACATTAAAGAAATAAAGAGAAGAGGAAGAAAAGTGAAAGAAAGTCAAGTCAATTTTGGACTTGAGATTCTGTATGTTACTCTGTCACAGGCCATTAGAAGTAGAACAGAGAAGGAGGAGGTACCTGGTCAGAGATGGCGATGACCTCACAAAGTGATACCAGAGAGAATATAACATATTTTCATGGAAAGAAGTAAAGTAAGGCAGGAGCATAACAGAAGCCTGAGCTCAGGGAATGAACAGGTTGGAGGAAGGTGGGAGAAGAGAACTTAGAAGTAGGAGAAAAGGGAGCCAGGAGTCAGCACAGAACCCTGAGCATGGGTACAAACTCTAGGGAGGAGGAGGGCACACTGCAAGGTCACCAGTGACTAGAAGCCGAAGCTGGCCACTGACTTGGTAACAGCTGGACTTGGTACTTCGAAGAAGGCCGAAGCCAGACAGTTGTTTGCCTGCATTTGTTTCCATTTTAGATGCTCTTATATTTGAATATGCCAAGAGATATTAGACATCTTTCTTTTGATGCCTTTTCATTATAAGAAACAGATGTGTTTCTTAATAGCAATTTTTACCTTTGAGGTCATTTGACCATCTTTTTCTAGTGATGTAACTTGGTTACTCTCTCACGGGTACTAGGTGAAATACTCCTCACCGAATAAGTCATCAGTGAAAATAACAACCCTTATTTTTGTTCTCAGTACACTTATCTGGAAGGAGGTTGAACTAATAAACTGTTGTATGCACTGGTAAATTTCAGATGGTTGTTTACAAAGCTGGAATTCACAAAGCATGGGCTACTTGCTGGGATCTAATTGTTAGGTTAAAGAATGGTTTGATTCAGATCTCTCACACTTTTTTCCGCTTAGGTCTTGGCATGGTCACACCTATTAATGACCTTCCTGGTGCAGATACATCCTCATACGTGAAGGGAGAAAAGCTTACACGTTGCAAACTGGCCAGCCTGTACAGACTTACAGATTTATTTGGATGGGCACACCTGGCAAATACATACATCTCAGTGAGTTCTTTACTTTTGGTTCCTTTTTTCTAAAATTCCAACTAGATACCAACTATGACCTCTCATCTTTGCTGGAAAGTCCACTTTTCAGACTTAATGATAAATTGAGCCTCTTCTCCAAGGAAGAGACTAATTCCCCAGCTTTTCCTCTCCCCTCTCTCTCGCCTGTGAGGTTCCTTTGCAGTCCAGCTGTAGAGCCTGTCCAGGAAAAAGTCATGCAGATCATCCTTTTCCATGGTCTATAGCTGAACTTCAGTGGCATTAGGAAGCCCTTGGGACAGGGAAAGGAGAGGACAGAAGGTCTCCTCCCTGGTGGTTGGGATCTTTAAGTACACTTCTTATTCGAATGCAGACAAGCACTGAAGGTTGGGAACCACATGTGAGAGAGCATCAGATTCTTGTCTTTCTGAGCCTGAGTCGTAAGTGACAGAGTAGAGAAGAGGCTTCCAAAGGTGAGAGGGCACGGGAGGGGGAGAGGCTGTGCAGGAAGAAGGGCGAGAAGAGAACAGAAACCAATTCTCTTTGGAAAATGCCACAATGAAGCCTAATGTTTTGTAAGCTAATAAACTATCAATAAATAAATGCACTTTTCCTGTTCACTGCCACCTGTTTTCATTTTGCACACTTGGAAGGATGACACCGTTTGGAATAAAAAGCATGAACTACTGTGATGAAGTGGTAGGCACACAGTCCTGCAGGTTACCACCAGTCCTGTTTCTTCTAGCTATTCTTTGGTTCCCCACTCTGTCTCTACCTTGATTCTTTCACAGGAGAAGGTTTTTCCCTCCAGACCCCTGTGTGTTGGAAACATAATCCTAGCCATATTTATGCTGTAAGTCCAAGTGCCTCAGAGTAAGTCCTTGTTTTCTCTTTCTTCCAGGTGCGAATAAGTAAGGAGCAAGACCATATTATAATAATTCCCAGAGGCCTCTCTTTTTCTGAAGCTACAGCCTCCACTTTGGTATTGTTCTCATTCCTCTGTTACTTTTTCTGGGTATCCTTGTTTTTAAGAAAAATTTTATAGAGTCCAGGAAAAATAGGATGGTTGACAACATTAATAAGTTGAGTTGTAATTACCTTACCTGATTTTTTTTTTAAGACAGGAGTTTACTAAGGTAGTCCTGGCTGGCCTCAAACTTACAGAACCCTGCCTGCCTCTGCCTGCCAAATGTGGGATTAAAGGTGTGTGCCACCACACCAGGCCCTGCCTGTATTTTAAATAAAATATTCTAAATACTGTCCAACTGTATACATTGAAAAAAGTTTTCCAAACAAGGTCAAAATATAGTCCACAGTTTGATTTAAACAGTTTAGTTGATGTGAAGATGGCCCCTACCCTGTATTTTGTTTTGTGATTGCATGCCCAGCTGCTGCCATGAGCATGGAAGACAACTGGAATCACACTAGGCCTGGGTGCTGCCGTGTTAGCAAGTGGCACAATTCCAGCCGTTTGCAGCAAATGCTAGACTTTGTCCAAACCTCAGATGAAGCGCTTGTTAGTCAGTTTCCTGGAATCTGTGCTTCTTGCTATCTAAATACATAGTACTTGTTTTAGAAATAAAATTTTATGGGAACAAAGCTGTACCCCTTCTTCTACAAATTGTTTCTAGCTGTCTTTGTTCTGTATGATGAGTTCAGTTGTTGAAACAGAGGACCATAACATCTAAAACACTATCTGGGCAAACTTGCTACTCCCTGGGTTAGCTGTGGGATATAGATGAAATTTGATACATATGTACAAATTAAACATATCCTTCTGATTTTTCCAGGTAAAAGTCAATATAATAGGAGAAGTGGTTGACCAGGGAAGTACCAATTTGAAAATCGACCATACAGGATTCAGTCCGCATGCTGCAATCTATTCAACACGTCCTGATGTGAAATGTGTGATACACATTCATACCCTTGCTACTGCAGCTGTAAGTTAGTCCTGTGCCCTAATCAGAATGACTACAGAAAGTACTGTTTTCATGACTTTCCCAACATGGCACTTCATGCTACATCTTCTATCACACCCTGCAAACCCCCTCTGCATTCCCAGAAAGCAAAAGGTTCTTGGAACCAAATGCTACCACTCTAGGAAACACTTGCAGAAATAAGTGTGGATTTAAAATTTAAGGAGTGTAGGGCTGGAGAGATGCCTCAGTGGTTAAGACTACTGGCTGCTCTTCCAAGGAACCTGGGTTCAGCACCCACATGGCAGCTCACCACTGTCTGTAACTCAAGTTCCAGTAGATACACGTGCAGGCTAAACAACTATGCACATAAAATAAAAATAAATAAAAACTTTAAAACTAAGCAGTTTAATAATTAGATCAATGAGGATTTGAGGAGAGAACATCTTTCATAATATTTGACATGCATTTGAATTTGTGTTGTATCCCTTTTAACTCCCTCCCTTTCTTTCTGGAAGAAGTAAAGAATTAGAGTGGGAGGTGGGCTGCACCATAGTGGCAAGCACCCAGTGCTTCCTGGGCAATCTAAGGAATCAAATCCCAATGAATGTGTATAATAACTAAATTGTAATCTTGGACCCCATCCATAGGTGTCCTCCATGAAGTGTGGGATCCTTCCAATTTCCCAAGAGTCTCTTATCCTGGGAGATGTAGCCTATTATGACTACCAGGGGTCACTTGATGAAGAGGAAGAAAGAATTGAACTTCAGAAAGTTCTGGGTCCAAGCTGTAAGGTATGGAGTGGTCTGTATCTAAGGGGTTTTTGTTGTTGTTGCTGCTGTTGCTCTTGGTAAAAACACTGAGCTGTGCAGTTAACCTGCTGCTCTGGGCCTCTGCTGTAGGTGCTGGTGCTCAGGAACCATGGCGTGGTGGCACTTGGCGAGACACTTGAGGAGGCTTTCCATTATATTTTTAATGTGCAGATGGCCTGTGAGATTCAGGTAGGAGCCGGTCGTTCCCTCTTTTTTATTGCTTTCCATTTGTCAGTTTAGTTGGGTTTTGTGTTTGTTTATTTTCAGAGCCATATTGGCCAGTGGCTTGTTTTATCTTTTGATAGACGTTCTACTCTATTTTGGTAACGAAGCTAGTCAACTCGGTTATCCTTTGAAGTAAAAAAAGGAAAAGAACTTAAATTTACATGCCAGAATCTGAGAGCCTGGCGAACGTCATTTGCCCACAGTTTGTTTCCACTCTAGTGATGGTGCTGACTAAGAAACAGAGGCGCCTGCAAATCAAGAGCTGGCTGTGTTGTGTAAAAGCTAAGACTAAGGCAGGATGTTTTATAAACTCGTGCCGTTAGCACCCCTTCACCCTCTGTGTTATAGCACACTGGATAGTGATTGACCACCTTCCTCAGAGATGCCGAGTGTGTGCAAAGGCTCTAGTATCCCTTCAAAATCAAGCAGAGTCACAGAAGTAAATAACAGTTGTTGTCATTTGTTTCAAGGACCAGGAAAAAGGGAAAGAAAGCCGTTTCTATAACTTGAGGGAACACAATCTCTCTATGTAGCCAATGCTAGCCTCAGAATTGACATCCTCCTGCCATAGTCTCCTAAAGTTAAAATTTCAGCAATGTGCTACCAGGCTCAGTCTTTGTCTACTAACTCTAAGTTGTCTTGACCAACTTCTCTGTTGCCGTTAAGGCTCTTCTCAAGTGCTGTGAGAAGCTTAACTAAGACAAAGAGTGTCACCTTCTGCCTGAATGTCCTTAAGTGTGAACCACAGTATCTCCATAGTCCTTCTCATGTACACCTTTTAACAAAAAATATTAGCTGCGGGGCTGAAGACATGGCTCAGGGTTAAGAGCACTGACTGCTCTTCCAGAGGACTCGAGTTCAATTCCCAGTACCCACATGGCAGCTCACAACTGTCTGTAATTCCAGTTCCAGAGGACCCAATATCCATGGCAAAACACCAATGTAAATAAAATAAAAATAAATAAATTAAAAAATATATATATTAGCTGCATAGCCATGGGAAATTGTTCAAGAAAAGGGCTTTAAATTTTAGCAAGAAAGCTCATTTACTTGAAATATGTTAAAATGTGGCTCCCCAGCTGAAGTATGGGAGTCCTGGAAGGCATTGTTTCTGATGGGTAGGAAAGGTTCTGCATCTGCTGACTGCACAAGAGTATTAGCTTGTCTCTTATTTGTTATTAGCAGCTGACGCATCTTGTGAGCTGTTGCCAAATTGAAATTGTGACTTTGGGAAAGTTAGAGCCTTGTTACTGTCTTCACAATTTGCATATCTGTATTTCTCCACTAATTACAGGTGCGGGCGATAGCAGGGGCAGGGGGAGTAGACAATCTGCTCATACTGGATCTTCAGAAGTATAAAGCTTTCACCCATGGTGTAGCTACGTCTGGAGGAGGCGGAGTAAATATGGGTTCCCATCAGAAATGGAAGGTTGGCGAGATTGAATTTGAAGGGCTGATGAGGACCCTGGATAATTTGGTAGGTGAAATTTTAACCTAGACTTGTGTTTCATGTCTGTGGATTCAAATGCAGTTGACTTCATTGCCCATTGGTTTTAGAACGTACTTCTAAGTTCTTCAGGACAAGAGTTTGAGCCTACAAAGGCACTACAGTGTAATTTAACCACATTTTTAAGAATCAGGGTCAGGAGACAGGTTATCTTTAGACCTAGGAAGAAAGACTCCCAGATCTGGTTTCCCAAAACCAATTTCATAGCAGGAAATGTTTCTGACATCAGGGTTGAAGTTAGTTAGCTCTGTCGGGCACAGTTGAGTAGAAGTTGGAGAGCCAACTGTAGTCCGTTTCAAACTATCTAGAAATGGGCTCCATTTCAACGCCAGTGTTATATGGAGGCCATGTGCAGTTTATTTTCCTCCTGTCTTTCAACAGGGACTCTTTTTGAATCTTGTTTAAAGATGTAGCCTCCAAGTTTGTTAGAACAGGTCTGGTTGATTCAGTATGGCTTTTCCTCTCACAGGGCTACCGAACAGGCTATGCATACAGGCATCCTCTCATTCGAGAGAAGCCTCGGCACAAGAGTGATGTGGAAATCCCAGCAACTGTGACTGCTTTCTCCTTTGAGGATGATACTGTGCCTCTCTCCCCTCTCAAGTACATGGCACAGAGACAGCAGCGTGAAAAAACAAGATGGCTGAACTCTCCAAACACTTACATGAAAGTCAACGTGCCTGAGGAGTCTCGGAACGGGGAAACTAGTCCCAGGACCAAAATCACAGTATGGTGTTTCCATTCTGTATAGATTGCATTCTCAGTGTTTTACCTAATTACTCAGGAATGTTCCACATCTGACTTATAGGAAAGTAGGAGGTACTGTAAAAATAATACCACTGTCATTTATCAGGGATTATAGTCTTACTTTCTTCTCCTAATACAAAGTGGATACTTTCTCCTTGTTTTAGATGAGAAAACCAAAAGAGGTTGACTCTTTCTTTCTGGTTAAATCAGTTTGAGTTTGAATAACAACAGTGTCTTGAACCTTCTTCTTTTTTTTTTTTTTTTTTTTTTTTTTTTTTTTTTTTTTTTTTTGAGACAGGGTTTCTCTATGTAGCTTTGCGCCTTTCCTGGGACTCACTTGGTAGCCCAGGCTGGCCTCGAACTCACAGAGATCTGCCTGGCTCTGCCTCCCAAGTGCTGGGATTAAAGGCGTGCGCCACCACCGCCCGGCTCTGAACCTTCTTCTTACCCACTCCATGACACTGCTATATGGCTGATATTGCTCAGGACATTAAAACAGGAACACTTCCAACACCAAATCGTGCCATAATTGCATGAGTCAGTGTACAGTATATACTTATTTTTTGGCATGACCTTATAGAGATTGAGTTATTTTATCTGTCTCAAATTTTTTGGTTCAGATTTGGCTTGGTTTTGGAGTACATACCATCAGACTTATTTGGGGCTGGGTGAAGAGAGAAGGTCTTACTGTGTAGCCCTGGCTGGCCTGGAACTCACAGAGACCTGCCCACTCTGCCTTCTGAGTGCTGGGATTAAAGGAGTGCACCCCAACACCCAGCAGCTCCACCAAATATTCTTTAGCTATTAAAATTAGTTCAACCTATCATCTAAATGAATAACATTCAATATGGAAATGTTTAGACATTTAATTCTAATTATCTAATTCAATTATTTCCAGGAAAAGATACATAATTAAACTCAAACATTTCCCAGAATTCGTTTAATAATCAGAGCTTGCCAATCAGCCACCATTGATCTTACTTAGCCTTCTCTCAGGATTAGATAGAGTGTAGAGTAAGTAAAAAGAATTCTAGAAGGTCCTCTAAACACTGTGTTTCCCATTATGCTACATGCTTCAGATTACTCACTAAAGCATTCTAATTCAAGTCTGTTCAATATCAGCCAAAACTAAAAGGCAAAAATCTAAAAAATTGTACCTTAAAGACATTGCTTGAGTCTTTCTATGACTTCTTGGCTGTTGTCACCTGATGAGATTCAGTGCAGTGGACAGAACTTCAAACAGCAGTTAATGCACAGTCATGCTGTCTGTTTGTCTGGAGTAGTTTCCACATCCTGCTTTCAGCTGTCAAAAGGAGAGAGCTTTAATTAGAAGTGTGATTAATTACTCGTGTGCACTGTAATGTCGTTTGCTTCCTCCAGAGTGAGTGTTTTGGGGAGGCATCTCTGACTAGCATGAGGTAGGAGTTAGCTACAAAGACGCTTCTTAGTAAAGTATGCCCCCTTAAGACTCTGTTGGGCTGCTCAGTGTCTGATATTT